AAAAAAAAAAAAAACCTCCTGGGCTCAAGCAATCCTCTTCCCTCAGTCTCCTGAATAGCTGGTACTACAGGTGCCTGCCACAGCGCCTGGCTAATAGGGGAAATTGTTAAAATGTATAGGAGGTTTCACATTTGAGTGAATAAAAAAAATTTATAGGGGGTTATTGGTTGGGACTCAGCCAACCAACCAAACCAAAATGGAGCCACTCCTGCTGAAGTTCCACATTGCCAAGTGGAACCTAAGTTGTTTATCTGACCTTCTGTGAAATCAGGACAGTGAGAGATTAAAGGCAAATCCCACAAGCCAGTCTTATCTGGCATGGAAAGGAAGTCCCCTCTGCTTTAACCTTTATAAGGAAAATAACTTTGAAACAATCCACCAGCTTTTCATTCTGTTTCTGCTTTCTCTGGACTTCTCTGTCTACAAAACCATCCCCCTCTGCTCGGCTCAGGGGAACACTCATCCTGTGGTATAGAATGAGGTGTTGCCTGATTCTTGAATCACAAACAAAAGCCAATTAAGATCTTCAAACTAGGCTTGGCACCCATAGCACAGTGGTTTTGGTGCCAGTCACATGCACTGAGGCTGGCCTGGGCCAGCTAAACAATGACAACTGCAACAAAAAAATAGCCAGGCATTGTGGCAGATGCCTGTAGTCCCAGCTATTTGGGAGGCTGAGGCAAAAGAATCACTTAAGCCCAAGAGTTAGAGGTTGCTGTGAGCTGTGATGTCACAGCACTCTACCGAGGGTGACACAGTGAGACTCTGTCTCAAAAAAAAAAAAAATCTTTAAACTAAATTCTTTTTTTTTTTTTTGAGATAGAACCTCAAGCTGTTGCCCTGGGTAGAATGCTGTGGCATCACAGCAAACTCAAACTCTTTTTTTTTTTTTTTTTTGAGACAGAGCCTCAAGCTGTCCCCCTGGACAGAGTGCTATGGCTTCACTGCTCCCAGCAACCTCCAACTCCTGGGCTCAAGCGAGTCTCCTGCCTCAGCCTCCCAAGTAGCTGGGACCACAGGTGCCTGCCACAATGCCCGGATATTTTTTGGTTGCAGCCATTATTGTTGTTTGGCGGGCCCAGGCTGGATTCGAACCCACCAACCTTAGGGGTATGTGGCTGGCGCCTTAGCTGCTTGAGCCACAGGCGCCGAGCCGCAAACTCAAACTCTTGGACTGAAAAGATTCTTTTGCCTTAGCCTCCCAAGTAGCTGGGACTACAGGCGCCTGCCACAACACCTCACTATTTTTTTCTTGCAATTGTCATTGTTGTTTAGCTGGCCTGGACCAGGTTTGAACCCGCCACCTTTGGTGTATGTGGCTGGCACTGTAACCACTGTGCCACAGACGCCAAGCCAACATATATATATATATTTCTTATTATACCACAGAGGGAAAGCGTGTGGAT